AAGGACAAAAACCCTTTCAAAACTATATGCTGAACTATCGGCGTTCCAGGCTACAATTGGAATGCCGGTTTGTGAGGCCATCTCCAGAAAATACTGCGATGCAGTTGTTGTTTCATCAAATTCCTCCAGTCTAGTTAGGAACAAAATGGCGATTACCTATTCAAAATAAATTATTTACTTGAGTGAATGTTTATGATTAATCAAAGTGTTAATGTAAATGTTTGGAAGGCTTTTTTTTGGAAAAAATACACGAATGCTAACATTTTTTGGTATCAACTTGTTACATATGCAATCAAGAACATGCGAAGGATAGAATTTCAACGGTATTGGACAAGAAACTGAACGTAGCTTATAACGAGCAGAAAATCTTTTTGTAAACCTAAAAAATGATATTTAAGTTAAGTGTTTTATCAGCAAATATCATTTTTCTTTCTTTTTTCTTTCGTGCCTGCATTCTTAAGAAATAGTGATTGCTTTTAAATATCGATGTTTAGTTGAACAAAAAAAAGTGAAGCAAAAATAATGCGACTAGAAAAAATAAAATAAACTATTCATAAGCACAGAAAAGAATATTGAAAAAAAATGCAAAAATACTAAAGTTTTTATCCAACCAAATATTACACTTTTAACTTCCCTTGAAAGAGCACCCAAAAAGTCTTAAAAAAATAAATAAATGAAAAGATAAATAAATGACATTTCTATAAACTAAACTTAATATTGTTATAGAATCTTGTTGTCGACTAAAGCAAACAAACGAATTTAGCAGCTGACAACGTAGAGAAGAGTAAAATTTGAGACAGAAGATAAAAAGTGGCATACAGAAAAACTAATATAATATTTGAGCAGACCTAAAAAAGTACCAGAAATATTAACCTTAATGAAGTTATAGCACCAAGAAAAAAAAACCAAAAAATAAAGTCAAAAATCCAAAAAAAAATTAAAAACTTACGTAGATGTGGCTTGATTGACGATGTCAAGCGATTTACCAATAACTTTTTCATAGACCTGTGACTGTGACCAGTGCTATAAAAATATGGTGATGCCTATACATTGATGTCACCATTCGAATTAGCTAACTTGATCAGCTGTCAAAAGCAAACAAAAAAACTGTTCCCCAACACTAACAAGTGCCAAAAAAAAAGAAAGTTTTTTGCTAAACTTTAATTTCCTACCTGATAAATAACACCAATGTAAATATCTTGTTTTTTGGTACAGTAGACAATAACTGGTAAACAAAAGATCAGATATAAAGAATGCATAATGTATCAAAACTATGAACAAACAGATTTCGCCACTGTAAACTACGGTTAACAGACTGCTGCTGAAAGATTCAGCACGATCACAGTGGTAATTTTAGTGCTTTAAAAGTAGCTGAATCGAGAATGTGGCAAGTGCTGAAACAATACCAAAGGTTTATAGGCGAAACTTTTTTGAGGATTATTGAAGTGATACATTGATTTGTTTGCCTTCTCAGACATAAATTTATCATGTTCCATTCATTGATCAAATACGCCAAAAAAACGACAACGGCAGTTATACTTTAACTATATGGCTTAATTTTTTTGAGGAAAATCTTTCTTTCTTTATATCTTCCTAAAATCTTTCTTTCTTTATATCTTTTAGAAAATCTTTCTAAAATCTTTCTTTCTTTCTTTCTTAAATACAGAATGTATTTCTTGAATTTGGCTTTATCTCCCAATTTTTTTTTTTGCTTTTTCAAGCTTATTCATTGAAATTCTTTTTTTGTACTCTTTAAAGAACCATAATTTTATCCTGAGTTTTTCAACTATTTAATGAAGATATATAAATAAAGAAAAAAGAGAAGAAGCATAGAACTTCCTTCTTCTTTCCTATTCACTGTTTTTTTTTTCTGTTTATCATTGTTACATAATTTTTTCACATTATTTTGAACATTCATCGATGAGTTCCAAAAAAAACTCTTTTCTTTTGTGATTTTTAAATCAAAAAAAATTTAAAGTTAATCGAATAAACTCATAACTTCAGAAAAAATTATTTTTAAATTCAAACATAATACATACAGCAACCGTCAATTTCAAATAGTCAAATGCAGGTCTGTTTTGTTGTTATCATCACTGCTTCTTCAGAAACCCATTCTTGGAATCAAAATCATCACTTTTTTATTTTGATGTTATAAAGCCAAATCAGTGCAATAATACAAATAAAGAAACAACAACAAAAAGAGCAAAAAAAGAGGAGAAATAAGTTTTGCGAATTTTGTTGAGGAAAAAGGTTGGAACAAGTTTTGACAGTAAGGAAAATTATATATTAAATAAGGCTATATATGTTTTTTTTTCGGTTATTCTCATACATTTTTCTATATTCTCCAGCAAACAGCAGTAACAACA